ATCCAGAAACCCTTCAGCAGCTGAAGATTCCCATCATGCCCCAGACTACCTGCAAGGCCGCGTATCCTCAGCTGACTTCTGACATGCTGTGTGCAGGGGTCAGTGCTGGAGGGAAGGACGCCTGCAAAGTGAGTCTCACTAGTCATGTCAGACAAAATATAAACGCACATAAATTAATTGAATGCATTATATTAGGGGTTGGGCAGCAAGGGGGCTCGGTGGTTAGCACAGTCACCTCGCAGCTAGAAGATCCCCGGTTCGTGTCCCGGTTAGGATCTTTCTGTGTGGAGTTTGCATGTTCTCCACTTCCACTCAGCTGGATTTACTTTACAGCTGTAGTTACGAGTGACTTTAAAGTTTAAACTTATGTGTCATAAAACATGTGGTTCTTAAACTTTTGGACTGTCGCAGATGAAAAGCTGCTTCTAGCGTTTCCCTTTTACATGTCTCAGATAACCTGTTTCACTTTAGAGAACTGTTTGAGGTATAAGAAGGTGAAAAAAGAAAATGTTTTACAAAGAAAGTGTGCTGGACCTCATAGCTTCACTGTAACCACCTCCACTTAGAGTCACTGTGGCAGTGAAATATTACATCAGCAGTGATGCTTCAGTCTCACAATATGAAATATCATGTGATGGCATGTTAAGCACTATATTTACATTTTTGTACTGTTATTGCATTTACAGTCGTCCCCAAATGCATTGTTAATTTTTTCCGTTTCTAGTTATTTGAGTGGCGATTGTGAATTTTGCCTTTTCTTTAATGGAAGGGTACGAATACATTTGAGGACGACTGCACGTAAGAGTCGCAGTACTTTTAAAGTCTAACAGTCAATCTTTCTCTGCTGTGTGGCAGCTCACTAAGTTAAAATACAACCCAGAGTAGAAAGACAGAAACAATAACAGTGTTTGTGTTTGTTGTGCCTCCACAGGGGGACAGTGGCGGCCCGTTGGTGTGTCGTGCAGCCGGCGGCTTCGTTCAGGTGGGAATCATAAGTTATGCGGGTCATGCTGGCTGCGGTCACCCAGACAGCCCTGGTGTCTACACTCGGGTGTCCAAGCATCTGTGCTTCATCAACGACTACATCAAGCAGAGCGAGGAAGCCTCAGCTGAGGTCTAAGCTTCCACCTGATAACCTGCCTTGATCCTCACAGCTCCTCTCTGCGCTGCACTGTCACTGTGTGTCGTCCTTATCGCCGGTCGACTCCGGTTCATTTAACACATTTCTTTGCATTAAAGCTTTGAAGCATCACTATTAGTGTCGTTTTTGTGTTCGGAGAATCTCTGTTTGCATGCACCAAGCACACCTCCTTATCCATCAACCCCCTACTCCCACAACAACACCTTCCTCCAGAGATGACAAGTTCAAGTTAAGGACAAATTAGGGCGCATCAGTGCAGACATGAATTGCTCCTCAAACAACAACAGTGAAATGTTACGAACATACACATGTATGGGAGACGGGATTGTGCATGCTTAACACTTACAAGTACAATTTCAAATGCAGGATTATAAGCAACAAATGGTTTTTACATCGTTATACTGGTAAATTTACCCAATAATCCAGTGCTGTCTTCCTCTAAAATAGTCAACCATGACTCCATAAATAGGTTAACATCACTGTGCACAGCTGCCAAATGCCTTAACCTCTGAAGACTTGAGCTCTTGTTTGATATGAGCGTTGTATTAAAAAATAAATATNTCCATCCAAACTTGTAGTAACAGGGTTTTTTTAGCCACTTGGGGCCAGTAGAGGAGTCTGTTGTGATATTTATTGACATTTTTGCTCTATTTTTGGTCTCCACCAACTGAGGAAAGACTCTCAAAGCTGCTAAATGTTCCACAATGTTAACCACGTTTCTCTCAGCTGACCTGACAGTGAAGATTTCAAGTAGCTGATGTTCCACTTCTGCTGAACATACATCCACGTCTGAATACTGGGGTGTCGTGTATGTGTGCTGGAGGTCTGATGGAAGGTCATTCATAAACACAAAAAACTTGACATCTGTGTGTTTGTCTTGCCAGTCAACGTCAGCCCAGTTTGCGGCGATCAATGGTTTGGGTCGGCACACTTGCCCTGCAGAAGGGGAGCGCCCGTTACATGGGCATAGATACTGTCGTCACCCACCCTTACTACCGGGCCCTGGGCAACGGCTACGTCAACGACATCGCCCTGGTCAAGCTGAAGAAACGGGTGACGTTCTCAAAGACTGTTGCTCCGGTGAAACTGCCCAGCGTCGACGACACCTTCGATTCCTCGTCTGAGTGTTGGATCACTGGCTGGGGGGAGGTTAAGACTGGTGGTAAGTTCATACAGTCCACAGAGCAGAACACACACATTGTAGAGTGTCACACTTCCACCAACATCTTGTCTTGGACTGATGTTTATCTGGGTAACACTAAAAATTCTGCTCTCATACATATGACCAGACATACAGGCCAGACTTTGTACACTAAAATCTGCCATCAAAATGTTTTGTTTTTTTTTAACTGTATTAATTCTGCAAAGGAAATTGTGTTTTTGCATACTCCAGTACAGCACCATGAACCAGGTAAGTTTGGGGGTCTAACGGTGGCAGCTTGGTGGTGTTGGGTCTTGAAGCTCCGACCTTCTGATCAGTAGCCTCAAGCCTTAACAGCTGCACCACTGCTACCCAAAACACCACCTCCTCCTCTCCTACACTCCTCCTACTTTTTTTTTGTTGTTGTTGAAATACCAAGCCCATTATCAAGGAAATATCTCAGGAACACCTGTTTATAAATTCAACACTCATACATATTTCTAGACTTTGCACAATAACACAAATGCACTTATTCTCTGTGTGCGTCTGTGCAGTTCCACTGCCGAATCCAGAAACCCTTCAGCAGCTGAAGATTCCCATCATGCCCCAGACTACCTGCAAGGCCGCGTATCCTCAGCTGACTTCTGACATGCTGTGTGCA